TTTTGGCAACTCGGTTAGCTACAAATGTCTTTAACACATGTGGAGAATTCCGAATCCATGCAAGAACAACAGATGAGTCACACCACATATATATCTTATCTAAGTTTCAATTTAAGTGCCTTTCGCACCTTATTCATTAACTGCGATAGTAACACTGCACCACAGAGTTCAAGTCTTGGGATGGAAACTGATTTTAACGGCGCGACTCTTGATTTACTGCACAAAAGAACTACTGAACTGGAACCCGATTGCAATATACATTTGACATAAATGCATGCTCCATAAGCTAATTCTGAAGCATCAGAAAATCCATGCAATTCAATTTTAACAGCGTTGCTAGACAAAATTTTTCGATTAATAATTACACCATTAATTTTAGGCATCGACGTGATGAAATTCTTCCATTCACGAGATTCCGTTTCGGGAAGCACATCATTCCAGCCAATTTTTAGAAGCCAAAGCTTCTGCATAAAAATTTTGGCTTTCGTAATAACTGGTCCAATTAAACCAAGTGGATCAAATATTCGAGCAATAGCTGATAAAATATGTCTCTTAGTATAGTAATCATGCAAATTTGTAGTTACGTTGAATGTGAAAGCATCTGAATCTGGATTCCATAAAATACCTAACACCTTCGTTTCATTTTTCATTTCATTGGAAAACGAATAATCTTCAGCTTTAGTATTAACATTAATCAGCAATTCCTTGTGATTAGCAAACCATTTATGAAGCTTCATGCCTCCTCGACTTAAGAGATTCACTAACTGATTTTGCAGTTCTTTAGTTTTTTCTAAATCTTCTGCTTTTGATAGAACATCATCCATATAAAAATCTTGAAGTGTGACTGAAACAGCTAAAGGGAATTCCTTTCCTTCATCTTCAGCTAATTGTCGTAGGACTCTAGTAGCAAGGAAAGGGGCACTAGTACTGCCATATTTAATGGTATTCAGCTGATATGTCTTGATTTCTTCTTGAGAATTTCTCTTCCAAAGAATTCGTTGAAATTTCCTCTCATCTGGATCTATTAAAATTTGATGATATATTTTCTCTATATCAGCAATGAATGCGAAAGTATGTTTTCTGAACCTTATCATGATGGAAAACAAATCTTCCTGTACTATGCCTCCATTCAGTAACTGCTCATTTAAAGATGTACCAGTTGATGTCTTCGCAGAAGTGTCAAATACCACTCTCAGTTTTGTCGAACTCTTGTCTGGACGATATATTCCATGATGCAGAATATAATATGATGGTTCCAAATTTACATCTTCGTGTATTTCTTTCATGTGGCCTAAAGCTTTGTATTCCTTGAGAAATTCTTGATACAAGGATAGTAATTTTGGTTCCTTTAGCAGGATGTAAGCAGTAATTTTGCTCCATAACGAATTTAATCTCTTTAACGCATTGATCTTTAGAATTTCCTAGATGTAAATGTCCTTTTGCTCTTCATAGGCATCTGGACCACATACCTTCCATTTTCATCTCTAGAATGTGTGCTTAAGAAATGATTTTCGCATAATAATTCTTCCGGACTCTTCACAGGTTTATCTTCGTCTATCCTTTCAATTTCCCAAAAATTCTTTATGCTTTGATTCAAATCGTCCAATTCTTGGATTAACCCACAATATGCTGAATCTTGTTTCGTAATGCTATCAATTTTACCGCTGATAATATACCCAAATACTGAATTTTGAAGTATAAGACCAGAGTTTATTTTTTCGCATTTTAATAAGTCAAAAAAGATTTCAGCACCTATTAGCAGATCAATCTTTCGAGGTCTGTAAAATTCAGGATCAGCAAGTTGAACAGAATTCAGATTTCCCAAGGATGTAATATCCAATTTCTGAGTAGGTGTAATATTAGTTATTTTAGGCACTATTAAAAATTCTAAGTTTCTGTAATATTCTTCTTCTTTATTAAGGATAGTGGCATTAAGTTTTTGTTTTATATTGAAAGTTCTATCATTTAAGCAAGCAACCGAAACATTAATTTTCTCGCGATCTAAACAAAGTCTGGTTGAACATTCAACAGTCATGAAATTACACATTGAAACCGCTGTCAATGATTGCTCTGCCAAGGACAAAGTTCACCGTCTCTGTTCCTGATATAAATTACAGCTGTCGCCAACAAAACAGTTTCGAAATTCTTTTGGGCGTGTAGGAGGCGGTGAGTGAAGACGTGTGAGAAGCTACTTCCGGTCGGGGGGGTATCTGGAGCGCGGGAATCCTTCTGATTTTCTTTTTGCGCTTCGACGGCAAATGTTTTTCGCTGAGGAAAATGCAACAGGCTATGATGGCGTGAATTGCATAAACTGCACGAACTGTTTGATTTGCATTCTGTCACCTTGTAAGGATCTTAAGTTTTACTAACGTTTATTTTATTTTAAATCTTTACTATCACAAAGTGAATAGTTTTGTGGTGCCGTTTTTGACGAAAACAAGAATATTTCGATGGGCAATTTGATACTGAATGCATATGTTGACAGTTAAAATATAATTTGTTAGATTTCACAACCTGTACTCATTCTTGTACCGGTAATTTTAAATACGATGGACATTTTGCCAAACCGTGATTCCCATGGCATAAAATACAGTTCTCTATTTAAACATCTGAGAAAAACACTTTAGCTACACTTCTTGAGCTGCTATCCTTATGATTAATGTGATGAAATTCTCAGTAAGAGGTTTTCCTCATGATGTGAAATATAAATCTATTTCTTTACCTAACTCACTAGGTGAAAACCATGAATCACCTTGCCTCACTGAAATGGGAGAAGCTGTTCCCATATCTAAAGATTGGTATAACCTGTCTGAAGCTATGAGTTGTTTGAGTGTCTTCCTTAATTTTAAATAATAATCCCAGGTAGTTACTTGGCTTGAAGGGAACTGCACATGAATTTCATGTGGTTGTTAACAGTTTTTCTAAAGTTTTCTAAACATGAATATGGTGTTGGCTGAAACTCCTTCAGAACTACTTCTTTTGCTTTTTCATAATTCGCGATATCCTTATCATGTAAATAGGTTATTGTATTCGAAGCTTTGTCTCCTAACAGATTTAACAGAATTTCTGCTTTATAGTTCTCTGAAACATTTTTTGTAATAAACGCTTGTTCTAATGATGAAAAGAAAAATCCCCAACTCTCAGGCCGTACAGGAATTTTTACAGTTAAGGTCCTGATACTTTTTATTAATTGATCTAGTGACTCTGATTTTGTTTCGGTTTCGCTTACACCATCAAGTTTTGTTTCTGCTTTAAGCTTAGCTAACTCATTCTTTGATCTCTCAAGATTTATTTGTTCTAGCTCGACAAGTTTTTGCTGTGTTTGCTCTTCTTGTTTCCTATTTTCAATAATAGAGTTTGCTATCTCTTTTACTAAATCTTGTTTAGTTTTAAAAATTTCGCTGTTCTCAATAATATGAGTTAAATCTGCTATAGTCATTTTTTCGTCAACATTTAGATTTATTTCTAGGGCAATAAGCCTTAAATCTTCGTTTTTAGCACCCTTAAATAACATTGTTATTTATTACAGAACAAGCACAGAAAGTACAGAATTAACAAGAGAGGAATCACTTACCTCTGCAGTGATTCACTTTTGATGAATATCCTTATCCAAAATCAGCGATATTCATTGAAAAGAACAAGCTGGGAATACTGGCAAACACAAACACTCCTGCATTTTCGATGATTATTAATATCATACAACGTTATGTTTGTTTTCAAAAACGAAACACTATGCATTAACGCACAAAACTCAGTTTCACAGTAAATCTCCGGTGACTACAACCAGATATGTTTGGGTCTCATCCCAATAATCACACACTATAATAAGTACGCTGGTTCGTTACTTTATTAATTCTCATAATTAAATGACGATTACTCATTATTAACTCATAGCTGTGACCAGCCCTCGTACACTGTCGATGGCAATTCTCAAACTCGTCTGATCATAACATTACAGATGCGCATGCGGGAACAATATATATATATATATAAAATATTCATATACTTTTCAAAAACAATTCGCAGATGACTTTTCTTCTATTATTTCATCAAAGAAATAAAATGCACATGTAATGTTCACCGTTTGTCATTGCAATTTTTTTTATTTCGCAGGATGGAAGAGCCAATGTTCTTAAACACCTATGTTTACAAGAACTATGTCAGTTGTATTAGGAGGGAAACGAAATTCTTCTATGGAAATAAAGGGCAAAAACCTTGTTAGTGAAAATACCTGTTCTCTGCCTTTTTACTGGAGCACAACATGTCACTGAATACTTTAAAGGAAAATGCAATTCCTCTGGATAGTTGGTTAATCTTTTGGTGTCAACAATACACTAACTAGTAAATGGTAGTTTGAAGACTTGTGTTGCAGTATTTCAAAAAAAAATTTAGATTTGCAAATTATGAGGTACTCATACCCATTCGTCTTAAATTTAGCAACAGAAAAAGAGACAACTTCTTTACCAATAAATATGGATGAACACATTGTTGGTATTTATTATTATCATGAAAGGAGTTTTAAAAAGGAAGGAAAAATTGAAATAACAACTGCATAATACAAATAAGAAAATGCTTAAAATATGTATGTACATGCTGGTTACCTTTAGAGAAATGTTTATGTAGAATCTTCGACCAGTTGAACTGCTTGCATTTAAGAATTGGTAAACTGAGCTTTCCGACATTAATTAGTTACTATTTAAAGTTAATTCATTGTGAAAACTATTTTTTCTTTCTATGTATTTTAATAATTAAAAAATATTTTTCTCATTGAGAAAATTCTCCTGAATTCTTAAAATATTCTCCTTATTTTTGACTATTGTAGTTTGGCAACTATGTAAAACATTAAATAGCTGTTCTTCTAAAAGATTAACCCATTTTCTGAATGAAACATATATTTGTCCTTAAGTGTGCGAACTTGCTTGTTCAATGCTTTTATTTTATAAACTGCCATTTAATGAAAATTTTGTTGTATATTTTATTTGTGTATAATCTTTCTATAGTTTGATCCCATGATGCAAAGGTACTATTCCATGCATATGACAGTAGCTGAGAGATTTATACCAACATTCAAGAACTGGGTAAAATATATGTGTAGTATCGTAGTCCCTGTTGTCGGCTTTGCATTACTGCTTAAATGGTCTCGGGTAGGTATTCAGTTTTGTGCTTCTACATTAGAATGAATAAATGAAGAATTTATGTAATGTTTAATTATATACTAATAATAAGTGAGATATGAATCTAAGTAGATATGTCATGTAACAAAATCTGAATGCACTTTGAGATATTAAACAGCCAGATTAATCCATCTTTTAGTGTAATTTCTTTTAATTGCTATATCATGAAAATACAGAACTCAAATATTAATTTGCAACCTGCATTGAACTGAATTTAATCTATCCGTATTCAGTGAAATAATTTAAATACAGTAGAACCTCTGTAAATGAATCAGCAGTCAGTTTAGAGAAATCAGTAGGAAAATGCAGTAATATTAGAATGCATGAAAAGAGAATTGGTGACATTCATGAATTCTTTTATGAGGATTAATTTTTTAGCTTCACAAGTCATTTAAATGTCTTCCTATTAGGCTTAGACTGAAAGATATCATTGCATTCTATTAAAAACGAAAGCAACAGTAATAGTTGGACACCAAACTAATGATAAATCTGTAGGCATATTTTTAAAGGATAAAAGGATGTGAAGACATCACTCCAGATATGTTTTGGAAAAGATAAATATAAAAAATCAACAGTGATTCACTTGATTCACTAAATCAGTGAATCGGGCTTTTGAGTGATGAAGAAATCATTCATTCCGTTGTTTTGGAGAGCCCTAAATATTACAGTGATGAGATTGATACTGATTATGGTGATGAAACAGAAACATACAAAGTGAAAATTAGTCATGCTGAAACTGTTTAATATTAGAGCAACTTCCTGATATCTTGCGTATGGATCTTTTGTAGATTAAAAGATCATGCTATTACACAGTGGTTGATAAAGTTACAGATACAGATATGTCACAAAAAAAGGTAATACAGTCAAAAGTTTTTAATCCGGAATGATCTATAATCCGGACCTCAAAGCTACAAACTTTCTGCACATGCGTAAACGCATAATACGTTTACACATGCGCATATGCATTTACGCATGCACATAATATGTTTATGCATGCGCATTTAATGTATAACGGGCGGTACAAGCTAAGCTAAAATTATCTAATTATCTATTTCAGTTAATGTTGCAGATTGCGTTGTTCCTTAATCTTCTAATTGGATGCGGCTTATTATTTTTTGTAGATTGTTAGAGCAATTTTATAAAAAGTAAGCTTGAACTTCCGATTATGTCAAAAAGAGTTTCCGATTCTGGAGCTGCCAAAGGATCTACAAAGCGAAAGCATGTTTCAATTCCATTAAAAAAAGTGGAATTGCTGCAAAAAAGGGATAAAGGCAAAGAGGTAATTTGTTTCTCTAACCATTCCAAAATCTGTTTATCAATTTCACGCTGCTCTGCGGGGGGAGGAGGTCGCAGCGCGCAAGGAACTGGAAGTTGATCTGTCAGCACTATCCTTATCTTTAGGGCAGATGTTTTTATTTTATTCGGCTTGTAATTCCTTACTAAATGTAGTATTTCATCTCGATGTATTCCGTCTTTGATATGATTTAAATCAAATTCCTCGTCATTATAAATATCACGAATATGCATCAAATAGTTTTCTGGTTGCAATTTGCTAATTTCGACTATGCGTAATGTATGCTTCATGCATGCGTGCATTGAAAGAAATGTTTAATAAAATAAATAAATATTAAGTTTTTTTTGTAAATTTTGATATCCTTTAGATCATAATTGCTTTTTATGCATATTTTTAATTTTATAATTTCTGCATGCCATCTTACCAGATTTAAATTGATGATCTATAATCCGGAAAAACCGATAATCCAGAATCGCGGAAGTCCCGACGAGTCCAGATTAAAGACTTTATATTTTTTCAATAAATCAGTAATGACTTAACAAAATGCATCTAAGAAACTTGATGAAATTTTCCAGTTTACTTAAATTTTGATGGAGTTTGTATACTCCAATTTCCTTATGAATATTTTTGCCATGAAATAAAATCTTGTATGGTTTACTTTAATTGAAAGAAGCAAATTTTATTTTATTAATAAAAAAATGTGTTTAAATGTTAATAGTACTACTTGAGTACTTACTTTTAGAGTTTCAAATAAGCAATTTCAGAAAACATTCTGAAAAGAAAAATTAACACAATATAAAATTTAGCCTCTCTTAACCGAGTTTTCAATTATCTGACACTATCTTAATTTCCCATTTGCCTCAGATAATCAAGGTTCTACTGTATTTAATTTATTTCGTATATAAAATGTATAATTGTGTGACATTTAATAATAAAGGAATTCACAAGCTAGTATAAGAACTTTCTGTAAAGTATCCAACCTTTGACTGAGGAAAATATATTATTTATGTGACAAGATTGGGACTCTATTCCCCTTCAAAGTAGGCCCTTCTTGCATGTCACACACTTAGCCCACTGATCCTTTCATTATTGAAAACATTTCTGAAAGACTTCTTTTGAAGTGGTCCCCATCATGTTCTGCATTATTTCTTCTTTACTCTCAAAACAGTTTTCTTTCAGTGATGTCTTCAGTCTTGGAAACTACCAGAAATTGGAAGAAGACATAAACTGAACTATATCATAGAGCTGATTGAGATCTTGTTGATAGTACTTTTGTCACTGTTTGTCCTCCCAGTGCATATTTTTGTTGCACAGTTCCATGGATACCAAAGAACACAATATCAACATGATTTTGCTGCACATCTGTTGCACTTTTTTTGGCCTTAGGGACTCGGGATGCTTCCATTGCAGTAACAGCTTTTGGTTCTGTACATCCATGACTCGGCTCCAGTTATTACAGTTTTCAGAAATTCAGGATCAGTGTGCGGTTAATGTTCAGCAGATCCTGTGCAACCTGAAGACGGGAGTTCTTTCGGTTTCATTGACAGCAGCTTAAGCACAGATTTTACAGCCGTTCTGTGCATGTTCAAATGAGCCTGCAAAATTGCATGTGTGGAATCTTTACTGATCCCAACCACTTCAGCAATCTCTCATGTGGTCAGGTGACAATCTCCCTTTATCATAATTTTACCCTCCCTAAACAGCTGCATTCTCAGTGGATTGTGGTCTCCCAAAATACTAGTCACTCTTCACTGATGTGAAGTCACTTTTGAATTGTTGAACCGTTCCTTAATTTATGTTACCTCTATAGCATTTGCTTCTTGTTAAATCTTATAAATTATACAGAACTTTGAAAACTTTGAAATTCACTTTGAGAATCACCTAGCTTTTGATAAAATTTGATGCAGTATGTTTACTCAACTCATTCAATCAGCTTGATGAAAATAAATAAATTTTAAAAAAATGTAAAAAAAAAGATAAATATGTATAACAGCACCTCACTTGGTGGCAAGCAGGCAGCAATTGGCAACTCCAACATGGAGAAAACATTCAGGCTTGCACATTAAGTTGTCATCTTCCACTGTGCACAATGGTGCTGTGCTATTTAATTTTGATTTTAAATTTTATTAAATTTAAATTTAAATAGTACATTGGAGAATTCAAAGTTGCACACTTTTTAGACAGGCCTACTATATATTAACTAACCTACGATTTTGTATGCTGTACTTATTAAACTAAGATTGAATTGTATGAAGTAATTAAATTGCTTTTCTTTAAGTTATAAATAGTTTCAGTTTGAATATTCTGCTATAACATTTTTGCAACTTAAAAAAAAATCTTACATTAACTCCTTTTGGTTTACAAAGATGTTTTATGATTTATGATAAAAATCATTAAAAGATCTAAGACAGTTGCAGTTTTAACTATGACTGGTGAAAGATATTTGGTACTCGGGTATTTGCCGGATTCACAAAATTTTATTGCAGATTAAAAAGCTGATACAGTACAAAGTCCGTAATCACGGCTTCCATTCATCTGGAATGATCTGTAATCCGGGCCTCAAAGCCACAAACTTTTTTTTTTTTTTTTTTTTTTTGTATGCTTTACACATGCGTGTTTACGCATGTGCGTTGGGAGGATGTGTCTCCAGATACATTTAAAAATGCTTGGCATAATTTATGGCCAGCTACCATATTTCATGGTAAGGACGATGAAGATGATAGCCACAAATTTGAAGATTTTTGGACATCGCAAACTAAAGGTGAAATTTTCCAGTTATTGGATTTTGTAAAGAAATGTGGAGAAGCAGTAATAAATGAAGATGGTATAACAGAAGTTTTCATTGCAATGACAATGCCCTAATCATCAATCAATTAACAGATGGCGAAATCTGTAGTATGGTTCTAGATCCAGAAAATACTGGTTTCGATAGTGAAGAAAGTGACAGAGAGGTTATTGAAAATTAAAAAAATTCAATTGACAAATAAAGTGAACAAATAAACATTAAATTTTTTTTGTGAATATCAATACCCTTTAGATCAATTGCTCTTTATTTCATAAATTATGATTTCATATTTTTAATTGTATAATTTCTGCATGCCATATTACCAGATTTAAATTGATGATCTATAATCCAAAAAAAAAACCCTAATCCGGAATCGCCGATATCCCGACAAGTCCGTATTACGGATTTTATACTGTATATGAGTTTTTGGGCCTTATGAATTCAGCCATTAAGTGGAAATGAGAAATCAGCATTAAAAAAAATTGCCACTTTAGGCGAAAAAAAGCATTTTCACATTTCATTTTATTTATATATCAAAATTGGATATTTTCATGAGGAAAGAAAACTGATATTTATATCCTGATTGCAGTATGGGAACTTCATGTTTTAAAATTTATGATACGTATGTTTATTGCATTTAATAGAAATGTATTTCAGTTCTTCTAAAAGGTTGCAAGTTCCTGGAGTTCAACATTTCTGTTCTAGTATAGTTAAAAAGAAGTTTATTTTTAGCATTAGGTTAGAGCAGCATAATACATTGAGATATTATAAAAATAAACTAATTAATAAATAAAATAATAATTCAGATAATAGAAGGAACTTCTTTATATTTTTGATAGAAAGTTGGTTGACAAACAAGCACCGGGCAAGTGTTTCTCTGTAGTAATTCTG